CTTCACTCGTGGGATTCAGTACTGGCTACCAAAAGAAGCGGGGAAGATTTGGCAAAAATGGCAGCACTGAAGGCAGAGGTACAGTCCGAAGGTACTGATGGCCAAAAAACTCAACTTCCTTTGTTTAGAGAATGTGCGTAGCAAAGCACTGCATCAATATGGACTGTTTCTCTTAAAGATCTAAAATTATTCTAAGAAAAATGAGAGTTATTTTTAGAAGGCCTTTTATGAATAGGTAGTACTTTTTTGGCTTTGGCATTGGGAATTTTGTTTCTGTTCAGTCTGAATTCTGTGATGGGGTGAGTGAAGCTAAATGAGGTGGATGCTTTTTGGAAGAAAAAGAACAGAAGCAGATGGTGAGGGGGAGAAAGTAAAAATAGAAAACATGAAGCCAATGTGTTGTTAGAAATGCTGTTTTTCTCTAGTGAAAATGCGCTAGCTTATTGGTTTGATTACTCTGCTCGTTTGACTGTTCTTTTCAACTTTTTTTTTTGTACTTCATGTTTTGTGCATGAAAGGTTTTATTGCATGTTAGGTACCACACAGCATAATTTAGTTGCTTTTTAATATTAAAAAAATATTATTAATTCTTTGCAGATATGATGATAACTTAGATGAAACACTGACGATATGAAGTTTGTGTGAAAGAATTTAAATGTGATGAATCATCCCCAGCAGTGACCGATAAACGTAAGAAATTCTACTTTGTATTACATAGTTTACAGGGATCAAGATGCAATGAGAATGCAGGTCTTCCTAGACTTCTCTACAGCTAACTTTTCTTAAAATCTCTTAGAATATAGTAGTTCCTGGTTTGTATCATGAAGGCCCACATGACTGGGAACTCAAGTTTGAAAACGAGCATGCTTTCTGAACGTCTACACCTTAAACCTTTGTGTCAATCTATCTTTTGTATACTGTTCTTAATAAATTGGGTTGCTCTTAAAGCATTCCGGATTTTAACACAAGCAAAGACTCTTGCTGGAATGAATTGTGTGGTGATAAACGTTGTGGTTTTCAACTTTATTCTTAGTTCTCTTTATGAAATAGTTGCCATTGACTGTGTTTCAGGTTAGATGGGAAACAGACTGATTAAAGCTATTGATGATGGCAGAGCTGGTCTTTGTGAGGGGGTTAATTAATATCACTGCTGTGCTGTATTTTATAATGGGCTATCAGTATTGCACTGGAACATGGAAATATGACTTTGTGCTAGCGTCATAAATCACTTTTTGTCTAGGAATAACATTTTTGTAACAAATACCTTAAAAAGCAAAGTGAAGCATCACTGTAGTAGGGTATTATGAAGCCCAAAATATTAAGTGGGGGTCTAAAAGGGATCCAGTTCATGGACTATAGGTCTTTCTATGTCTGCTTAACGTAATGGTTTGGATTCAACCTCTTGTCTTCAAAGTCCTTAAATCACTGACAACTGGAAACTGGGAAAATATACCTGATAAAGGATTGAGCATCCCCGTGCATTCTGGAAACAGGCTACTTAGCTAGATGCACTTGGTCTCTGTGTGGTCTTTATTCTATTAGATAAATTAATTACTATATGAAGAAGTTTGCATTAGCATTTCCAGGGAGCATTTTCTTAATCCCATCTCACCAATATATATAAAACATGAAATAAATGGGGTATTTAAACATATTGCTGGGTTTACTGATTGCTCTTGTAGGGCAATAGGGCATTTTATATTGAAAATTACATGCTTTAGGAGACAGTAGGCTTCATAGGTTTGTAAGGTACATTATTGCTATGCTTACATTTGGAAGCTAAATATGCAGGAGCTTAAAGATAAGATGTTTGCTCTGGAAACGAATGAAGCGTAGTAAAATATTTATCAGCAGAAAGGTGTATAGCCAGGATTTTTGGTGAGAAGCTGATGGTGAGAGAGTGAGCTGAAGTAATGTAGCAGAGAGACTGCTATGAACTGTATAAACCTCTGAAATTCTTTCCTGCACGGCTGCAGCTGCGGTTCGGGAGGAGGCAGTGTGCTGCACCTGGTGCCCTCAGTTACATTTCTTTGCATTGCTGTGGAGGAAAATGAACCTTAACCTTTGCTGAGCCTGGGGTATTGGCTTTGAAATTTCATTCCTAAGTGGCAGCTGCTGCTGCTTTCTAACATACGCTTCTTTGTACTAGGAATGCATGTTTATTAAAGGACTTGTGTGAAACAGTTCAGGGGCAAAATATTAACCTTACTGACATGGACATCCAAGTGGTAAAATCAACTTTAATATAAATATTGGTGGCATTAAAAGCATTCCCTTCCCGTGTCTGTCACACAGCCAGAATCAACTGAAGCAGGAGAAATTAATACTGGCTAGCAGACCTCCTTAATGAGAGGAACAGAAAAAACCCACAAATATGGCAAGATACATTAACTTAAAAGCTTTAATTTTTTTCTTATCTATTAAGCCATTATTGAGAACACAGGCATACGCCTTTATTTTTAAATGCTGTTTTTAACTTCACAAGCACGCATAACAGCAGTAGTTCGCTTAACTTACGAAGCATAAAAGGAGAGTCGCTGTGTATTTGCTTTTGTTTCAGAATTACTTGGTAGAAGTAAATGTTGTTGGTGCCCCCTTATTTCTCCCAGCAGCTTTGTGATTTCCAGATAAGCAATAACTTATAAGCACACAACAGCTTTTAGTGGTTAACACAGTTCCATTATTTGGAATGTGAATCTACTTATACAGACAGTAACTATATTTGTGAAGGCGATCAGGAGAGATGGGTACGAAAAGCCTCTTTAATAGTCATATTTACATGGAAACATTATGACCAAGTATGTATTTTACAGACATAATGGTGATAGAGGAGGAATTATATTTAAATGAAAAGGGTAAAAATACAAGGGATTATCTTCATATACGTGTATCACTGAGAATTTGTGCTATTTTGAGAGAACCTGTAATTATGCTATAATTCTTTTAAAACTTACTTCTCTATTAACTCACATGCTAAAATGTGTCATGAAAATAGCTCGCATACTGTTGTTGTAAATGATAAAAGTGAAATATATTTAAGCACGTGATGGCTTTTTTGCTTCAGTTATTTTCAAGTTATGCAAATGTTGGACAAAAACCAAACAAAAGATTTTGTTTCAGGTATTCAGCTGATTCAGCAGATGCAAATAGGTGTTTCTATAAGCCTTCAGTCATCTACTAGTTCTTGAGCTAACTTGTTTGACTTGTTACTGTGAGTCTACCGAAACTGACAGTAGAAATAATGAAAAATAAATTGGCAGGTACAACTGTCGTTTAGATAACATTATACATAAATATTCCTAGCTAACTTGGTCGGTCTTTTTAGTCATTTATTTAAAAACGCAGCATATGTACGCAGAAGGGCGTGGAAGTGCTAAGAAACTGGTAGAATGCATGCTGTGTACCGTGCTGTCGTTACAATGCATTGCGACAACGCGGGTTCCAAGTTCGTGTTTCATTTTCTTTTTCCTTGTGTCACTGATTCAACATTTCCCTTTCAACAGGTAAGTCAAATTTCAAACATTTTCTGCTCTTTGGAGGAAGATTCTAGTTTTGTCTCTGAACCTGGCCTTTCAAAAGGTGAAATAACGGTATTTTTGCAATTCATACTGGGAATTATTGCTTGGAAAAAGAGTCTATTTTTTGTTGTAATACATTTACTGAAGCTTGTTATTAAATGAATATGAAAAAATATTTTCATTAGTGTGTTAAAAATATTTTAGTAAGCGTTACTTGCTTCCTCTCAGCTTCAGTAACTTGCAGATGTCGGTTTTTTACCTCAGTATCCTTAAATGTTCTTTCAGTCAATGTGGCTGTAGTTTTAATGTTTTAACATGTAATGTTAATGTTTTAACGTTTAAAAAAGGCTTGTAACCATCTTCCTTAAAAGTGGAACTTGACCTTTACAGACCGAGCCTCGCGTGCATCGCGCACACGTGACGGGACGTCAGAGGCGGCCTCTTCCCGCGCGGG